TACTACTTATACAGTATTATACAATAATACTGTTCCAGCTTACATATAAATTCGACTTAAGGAAAGACCTTGGGAATGAAATTCATTCTTAAACGGGGAACTACCTGTATATTCTACTACACTGCTGAATACAGAATTAATTTTGAAAAGAGAAATTTAGACATCTAGAACACAAGAGTGAAGTGAAATATAAACAAGATTTCATATGATGCCAGGGTCCATTTTTAGTTTGTGCAATCAATTTGCTCTAAACAAAAATATGTCCTGTAAGTTTTGAAACTTCCTGAACGGAAATATAAGTTTTTCAAGAAATATGCTTTCCAAGACCATATTAAAACAAACAAGACAGTGTTCAGTTTTCTTGTCTTACTCTTTGTATCACTAAGAGTACATTGTCTGTGGATGTATTGATATGATGGGGTTGTAATGTTAACCCCCTGTTATTATCATATATATCCCAAACTTATTTTTTAAAAATTACATAAATATGCAGTGCAATAATTTCATCCATGTAAAGTGAACTTCAAAATGCTTAAATTCTGTTTGAAAAATCATCCTTGGAATAAAAACTGTAACAAAATACTGTAGAAATGTCCATAGATAATTGCTTTGGTCTTAGCAAAAGAAAAACTATCATCAATTTTTTCAGTTAAAAGTGAATACTGTTTCATACTTAAAGAAACCAAGCAGAATATAGAATGTTTTTCATTCTACTGGACCAAAGGCTTTGTACTTAAGGGAGTCCCAAATGTCTCTAATTCTATCTAGTGTGTACAATAATTCTTTAAGATATATATCATTTTGAATATGCCCAGAAGACCTAAGAGAAAATTAACAAAACATTATGGCTCCTAGTTATTACTGTTTTTTAACAGCAATCAAGTGCTTTTTATATATCAAGCCACTTACCCGAACAAGTGCATCATCTATGATGTGATCACGTCTCACTTTGAGTCGCAAATATGGGTTTAACTGCTGGCCTTGAACTAAACTGTAGAGTACAGTTATACGACGTTCACTGTACATACGGATTCTGTTGTCGTAATACAATCCCAGGTTCTTGGTAACGGCATTCAATATAAAGGGGCATGTCATAAAGGAGAATTTATTTTCTGTTTCTACCTTGAAAAATGTATAATCTTTGTCCATTTCTAGAACATCATTCAGTGGTTCATTGATAAACTCTTCAAAGGGGATAAGTGGTTTTCGGCAATCTATAGTTTTTACGCCAAGTTCTGTTTCCAGAGGATCTACCCGAGGTCCTTTTTTATTTCTTCTTTCCTCACCCAGCAGTTCTTGTAGAGTTAATTCACTAGATTCTGGGATAGGCTCTTCATCCTCCTCTTCATTGTGATCTGTGTCTACATCTCCTCCTACTACATTTGCATAGTAAACCATTTTTAAGCACTTTGAAGCAGCAACAATAGCATCATCATCATTCACTAAGTTACGACTATTGAATTCATTACTTATGACTTTGTAGGTTATAAGCTGCTGAAAAGTTTCCATCATTCGTCGAATCTGGTCTGCACTGTACTTTGACCACAGTCTGACCAATTTTGCTTGAGCTGCAAGGGGTAACTTACTCATTGCTTTGCAAAACAATGGTAGTGCCATTTCCAGATACTCAGGACTATGAAGATTACCATTTTCCATAACAATAATAAACAAGTTGAGATAGTTAGGGTCTCGAGAGTACACATTATGATAAGTCAAGTCACATTCAACATTGGGTGACAAGTACACAAGTGCATTTAAAAAGGCAGTTTCTATTTTTTCATTAGAAAGTAATCTATTGTAGACCCGTCTGACTGCATCAATATCTACAGATACTTCATCTGGGCCTAATTTTTGTAGGTTGTTATCCCCCTGTGCACTGTCACCCATTCTTGATGATGATGATGACGATGATGATGGTGCAACTAAATCTTCTTCCATGGCAGAAGAACATGCAGCCTTTTCTTTTTCATCTTCATCTTTATCTTCATCTTTTCCTTGTAAAGACTTCAATTCCTCCTTGGTATGCTGTTTGGCTTTTCGAAAACTCTGTACCAAGGCCTCGGCACTAGAAAATACTCTCCCAATGACACGGATTAAAGGAGAATAGTCTTCTTTTTCTCTACATAGTTCAAGAATTTCATATACTTTTTCTTCTGTTAAAAAAGTCACATCTACATATTTAAAAAGAAAACCAAAAAATATTTTTGAGGTCAGGTTAAATACATCTCCATAGAATTAAAAGAATTACTATTTACAATCTTCAACAGAAATCAACAACTTCTGCAATCAGAACACACAACTTATTTTCCTACTTACAGAAACTGTACACCATACTACCTGCTACCACCCATATAGGTTCTGCCTCTTCCTCTTCCAAAGACAAAAAAATATTATAAAGGATAGGATGGAAGAAGGTCAGGAAGTAGGGAGAGACCACAAAGGTTATAGTTAGAATAAGCTATCTACCTCCAGTGTGGAATGCCACATAAACTCAGGTATTTCAATAGCAGTCTGGTACCCATCCTTTTCTTACTGCAGGCCACAGAGCTCATCTTACTCAAAAAAACCCAACTTCTTAAATGGTATTATAACAGCAAATGCTTTAATTTGGGATCCAACTACATGCAACTAAATTTTAAAAAAAAGAGGGTAATGCCACCACACTAACCAGCCCTGTAGGAAGTAATCAAAGTTTGCAGGATGTGGGGTGGGGGGATGTTATATTTCCATTTAGAAAACCTGCTCGTAGCTATTTGACTCAATTTAACTACAGTTAAAATCAGGGCAAACAACAATGGAGTGACTGGCAATGGGAAAGACACAGTGAAAGAGCTAAATCTCTCACACTGTCATACTGAGTATGAATGGGGCCTAATGTGGTTATTATTTGTAAACAAATTGACATAGTCAGTGTAAGTATATTTTAAATTATGCTAAATTATTAATGCAATATTTAATTTGACAAATATTCTTTTGTCAAAAAATTAAATATATTCTCACATACTGGTATAAGCTATACCTAGTAATTTGTGATGGTTTTTCCTTTCCTTTATTTCTATGATTATGTAAGCATATTACAAATCAACAGTGATGATTAGTATTATTCAACAATATTATTCCCCTATAATAGAGGAGACAATACTACCATTCAAGAAGATAGTTATGGAGCTCAAGTTTACTTTTCAGACTTCTAAAAGTATTCTGATTCCAAATTCTGAATGAAGGAATAAATGATCCTAACCTGATATACACATATTTTTTTTATTATGCCAGAAGGGAGAAGAGATGCTTTTTTTGTTAACATTAAAAATATAGCCAACGTCTCCAATGGTCAATTTCCGGTTATTATGATATACAGTCAGGATAACAAATTGCTCCGTGGTAAGATACACGCAGACTATATAAGGTGTATGCAATGTTGCCTCCTTGCTGAACATCCTGTAATGGCTTACCTTTAAAGTCATCTCTTGGACCTTGCATTTCCTTCTTGTTCATTTTTCTGTCAGTGCAGGCGTTGTTGTGGGCACCTTTGGAATTATTTTCTAGATAAGCCGAGCTTGTTCCTTTCTTGGAGGGATGAGGATCACAGAGTTTTGCATTAATCTTATAAAGGTCGAGGGCTTTAATGGCTGCTGCATTGTTATCCATACGCAGAAAAGTTGGACAGGAAGCACAAAATTCATTCGTGCAGGCTTCATTTCCACAACCCTCAGTTAACTGATGGTAATAGCGTTCTATTAGATGCTTTGCAGCTGCTCGCTTCCTGTACCAAACATTCAAACAGTAAGCACAAGGATTAGTATGGCTTACATATACAAGCTCATTCAATTGATCAGCCAAGCACAGATTAGTGAAGCTCTCGAGTAATCTCTCTCAATTTAAGAGATCTAGAAATATAAGATGCACCTATTACCTAAAATAAGATATAATGTGTGAATTCTGCATAGATTAGTCTAGTTTTTTTAAAAAATGTAAACTGTTTAAGAAAGCAGTACTTCTTAGACAAAGCTTTATTGAACATTGACATCCAATTCATTTCAGTAAGAAAGATCTAAGGAAGAGATCCTTAAACTAAGGCCTAAGGGCCATGATACAAAAGTAACTGTCTTCACTCTATGCAATTTTAATTAAAATATGTGGAAATGAAATGAAATTATTTTGTCCTAGACCTGTCCACCCACCACTTCTTGGAATGTAGTTCATAGTAGTTTATTCCTGTAAGCTGCCTTGACTATTGAAGAAACAGAAAGGTGGGACAGAAATTCAATCAATCAATCAGTGCATGTCAAGTGCAACTTCTAGTCAGAAAACAATACATCTCCCTAATATAAGTAATGGAAATTAAGGTATAAAAAACGGTCAAGGACATAGCCAATTCCTGTTCTGGAGTTACAGTGGGGCAAAAAAGTATTTAGTCAGCCACCAATTGTGCAAGTTCTCCCACTT